AAACAGACCTGTGGGGGGAGGGAAGAAGAACGAAAGCTAGAATAACCAGCACATAGACTGCTCTCAACTGAAGACAGTTTTAAAACATACCTTGTTTACATGATGGACCATGTAAGGCTCCATGTTAGCTGGAAGAAACTAAAATGGACAATTCAGAGCAAATCAATCCCTTCCTAGAGAAACCATTTTACTAGACACCAAAAGTGGTTTACAGTGACTGACTACCTTAAAGAATTCAATACCCAAACTCATCAAAGAAATATAATTTAGTGCCACCTAGTTTCGCTGTTTGGTATTCTCATCAGATTAAGGTTTACACAGACATTAGAAGGAATGAAAAAAATAAAAATCAACTCAAATGCTGGGATGCTATGCTGCGTAATGGTTTCCATTATAACATTTAGCTCTCAAGTGAGCTAGAAGATATTGCAGGAGAGGTACAAATCTCAAGCATTAAATGTTTCATAAAAAGGAGCAAATTCAGTGGTCTAGAACTGAACCCACAATATCTCAGGTATGCCTGTACAATGTTTATGTGTTTATGTGTGTAGTACGTGTGTGTGCATGCTCAGTCAAGTCCAACTCTTTTCAACCCCGTGGACTGTAGTCCACCTGGCTCTGATGTCCATGGGGATTCTTCAGGCAAGAATATTGGAGTGGGCTGTCATTTCCTCCTCCAGGGGATCTTCCTGACCCAGGGATTGAACCTGCATCTCCTGCATTGGCAGGTGTATTCTTTACCATTGAACCACCTGGGAAACTCTATGCCTATACCATATGACCCAGAAATTGTACTTCTGGACATTTTTCACAGAGAAATCAGGACATGTGCTCACACAAAAACTGTATGTGAATGTTTGTAATGTCCATAGCAGCTTAACTATCCCAAACTGGAAACAATCCAGATGTCTTTCAACTGGATGAATGGTTAAACAAACTATGCTCTGTCTATGGAATATTACTCACTAGTAATAAGGAACAAAACAAAAATGAAAAGATAACAACATCAACGAAAAATAATAAGGAACAAACATGTAATAACCTGGATGTCTCTCCAGAGATTTACACTGAGTGGAAAAAGCCAATCCCCAAAGGTTGCACACTATGTGATTTCACTAGTCATTCTTGAAATGACAAAATTATAGAAATTGAGGAACAGATGAGTGGTTGCCAGGGGCTAGAAGGGGAAGGGATAGGAAGGAAGTGGTTGGGGCTATTAAAGGGCAACGTAAGGGGTACTCGTGGCAATGGAAATATTCTGTATCTTCACTATATCAAGATATCAATATCCAGGGTGTTACCCTACAGTTTTGGAAGATGTTACCACTGGGGGAAACTGTTAAAGGATACATGTTGTCTCTTTGTATTATGACTTATACTTGCTTGTGACCCCACAATGATTTCAAAATCAACAAATTTTTTAAGAGCATCAAAGGAAAAAAAAAAAAAGCAGCAACACATTCATTAGGGCTCCATATTAAAGATTCCTTTAAGAAAAAGGCACGAACTAAGAAGCCACAGAGCAACAGGCTCTATTCTCTGCAGGGAGGCTGGGGCCTAAGCAGTGGGCGGAGGCTCACTAAGGGCAGGCGCAGCATGCTGGCCGGGGGGCTTAGACTCCGAAGGCCGCCTGCTGAGACCTCAGCGTGCAGCTGGCTGGCTCTGGGCGACTCCCCCTCCTCCTGCCGCAGCTTCCTCACCTACTAGACGCTGACTGTGTGAGTGCAGTTTATCACGTGAGACTAACACATAGGCTAGTATCAGACATACAAGGGTATAAGGATATTTATCCAGTCCACCTGCCTGGGCATTCAGTGGCTCTTCAAAACTACCTCAGCAAAGGTGTCTTTTGCACTGAAAACCCAGCATGAACATCTAAGAAAGACAAACTTAAGTATAAAAAGTTATACTTTCCAAACCCTCTCCCCCTGCACACAAAACAAAATACACAGAAGACCTCTTCCAGCAGTTACTGTCACTTTCCATTAAATGCTTTATGTTCTAAGCAGAACTTCAGTCCCTTGATGAGAAGTAGGGCTGGATGCTAAAATATTAGCATTAAGTTCACCTAAGACTTTCCAGAGACCAAATGAGTCACTCACTTCTTTAGAAATAGTCAAATGTCAAGGTTGCCAGAGAAGCCAACCTCAGATGTTTGCATAAATTATTTCCAAGTGATCTTCAAGTCAAACCCAAAGGATATTACTCAAGATAACATTCTGAGTAAGATCAGTTTTTATGGTTTTTCCTGTAATGGAGAAAATTCTAAAAGTGGGACTACTGGGGCGAAAATCACATTAAGTTAAGCCCCAAAATTATACAACTTATTTTAGAAAGGCTTAAAACTCCAGGGTTTGTTTTTTTTTTTACTGTTTATCCAGTCTCATCAAAAAGCACTGGACAAACTCTAAACTCCGTATTTAACGATATCCCATAGTGCCCATCCCACCGTATTTTCTCCATAATACTACTTAAAAGTGTAGAGAGCAAGGCGACTGCAGCCCTCAGGACAGAGCCATTGCTGCGCATCACTAAGCCATTACCAGGGAACAGGTCCTGCTCAGCTATTGGTTGGCACCGCAGTGAGCCCCGCCCACTGGCAACCAACGGTCAATCAGAGCCCATTAGTGGCCCTGCTCAGCCATTGGTTGGCACTGCAGTGGGCCCCGCTCACTGGCAACCAACGGTCAATGAGGGTTTCAGCCTATGGTTGTAGGGTGGAGGTCATCAGGTGGAGAGTGAGGCAAGAGGTGGCTCCTGGCCTTCTCCCCCCACCCCTCTGACCTGTTCTCTGGCCTTGGGCAAGTGGATGAGCTGCGGGTCCCAGGAAACAGGCTGAGAGCTAGGTCCTGCCGGGCTCCAGAGCCCTCCCCAAAGTCACCGCTAGCCTTGGCCCAGGACTTCCCGGGCAGCTCGGCTGGTGAAGAACCCGCCTGCAGTGCAGGAGTCCCCGGTTCAGCTCCTGGGTGGGGAAGCCCCCCTGGAGAAGGGATAGGCTACCCGCTTTCCTAGTCTTGGGCTTCCCTGCTGGCTCAGGCAGTAAAGGATCCCCCTGCAATGCAGGAGCCCTGGGTTTGATCCCTGGGTCGGGAAGGTCCCCTGGAGGAGGGCCTGGCAACCCGCTCCAGTGTTCCTGCCTGGGGAGCCCCCGCAGACAGAGGAGCCTGGCGGGCTGCAGTCCAGCGGGTCACAGAGTGTTGGACATGACTGAGCGACTAAGCGCAGCGCAGCAGCCCTTGGCCCAGGCCTGGGGGCGGCGGCGACCCTCTCCTCCATCCCTGCCTCTGTGACCTGCTGGCAGCGGCCATCTGCATGGACACAGCTTGGGCCCCGGGCCCACTGTCCTGGCGGGCGGGGGAGCCGGTGGGCCGGCTCCTCAGCGATGACCGGGGCAGGGTCTGGGGCCCTGGCTCTGAGGGAGCCGCCGTTGAAACCGCCTCCTCTTAGCCGGGACCCGGACTTCAGTGGGGAAAGTTGTGCCTCGGGATCTCACCCCGCCCCCTTTTTTGTCAAGACAGAGAATAATATTCGTTACATAGAAATTTACAGAAACATCCTTACCTTACCATGACTTGGCTTCAAAAATAAAGGGTTTGACACCAAGAAGTCTGCAACTAACCATGCCCCTCCCTCACCTTTTGCTTTCAAAAGGGCTTTCATGAAAGCTTTGAGTAAATTTGGGGCCCTTAAGACATGAGCCACCCATCTCCTTGTATGGCCCTCAATAAACCTGCCTCTGTTCCAAACTCCAATGTTTTAGTGTTGTTTGGCCTCACTGTGCATCAGACACACAACTTGCATTTTCAATAACAAAAGCAAACGCTTTTAAATTTTTTGATACATGTTTACAATCAGATTATTAATATCATCTGCAAAGCATTTTGAGTGCTCTGTACTGATGACACCATCCACAATGGTGTCACATGGTCTTTTTTCACTTTCATAGTAATTCGGGTAAAATTAGTCTAATTTCATTAAATTCAAGACTTTTGCCCTAGTGTATCACCGGAAGAAAAGGCAAGAATATTCTTTCGTTATTTACACTGTCACACAAAAGATAAAAAACAAAACAAAAAACGCCAACTTGTTCACATCCTACGTTTCTCTGCTGTTAAGTAGCTGACGTATCAGCTTGTCGGGGTTTTGGGTTCTTCAGGTTCATTCATTGCAGGGGATACTACACATTACCCAGTTTTACTAAAATTTCTAGATCTTACAGATTATTGGCAAATAACTTGAAACAAATCGCACAGGCGGCGCGGTATCTTCCCAAATAGGAACCTTCCGTTCGCTTATTTTTAGTAACTTTAAATAAAAGACTGGAGATGGGTCGTTTTCCCAGTTCCTTTGACAGGGTGACCGTGGCCCGGGACGGAGCGCCCCACAGCTTCCGGCTGGAGAATGACACGCGCTTCCCCAGGTTCTCCCGACTGTGCCCAACAAACCCGAGGTAACAGCTGAAGAATGACGACACCAAAATCAACCCTACAGCTTTTCATCCTGGAGGTCCGCAACACCAAATAAACTTTTATGTCTCCGAAGACAGTGGAGTTAGAAAACAAATAAAACACCCACATGGGGTCTGCTCGATGGGTTTCCGCGACCGAGGTCGCGCAGGGGGTCTAAGGCGGCTTAACCCTGTGCGGGCCGGGGTGCTCCCCAAACAGCTGTCAGGGGGCGCTGCACGCGAGCGAGCCGCACGCCGCGCCGGCGGCCCGGCCCGCAGGTGAGCGCCCCCGCAGGCCCGGGCCCCGGGGCGTGATCCCGCCACCGCAGGCCGCCCGCCCGGTACTTTGCTAACTCCGCGCGCCCCGGGAGGCGGCGGCTCCCCAGGTCGCGGTCACCGCCGTCCGAACGCCGCGGCGCCCGGGCGGGAGAAGGATCCGAGCCTCCCCCGTCCAGTTGGGCCTCGCCCTGCCCGAGCGCGGAGCCTCGGCGGAACAGCGCGTAACTATGGGCCCCGCCCGCACCCTCCCGGAGCCCCACACCCCGGGGCTCACCTGCGGGAAGGAGCCTTCGCGGCGCGGGTTCTTGGGGTAGTCCAAGTGACCCCGGTCCAGCATCAGGTAGAGCGAGAAGATCACCACGCAGAAGATAGCGCTGCCGAAAACGGTGAACTGCCGGCTCAACTTCATGTTTCCTCGATAGACCCGGCGACCGAGCGCGGACTCCAGGAAGCGGCGGCCGGGGGCTCCCGGCTCCTGGGCTCTCAGCCTGCACGCGCTCCTCTCCACCGCGGGCGCGGGTCCGGGCGGCGCTCCGCACCTCGTCTCCGGCGCCCCCACGCGCCCTCGGCCCTCGGCCCAGCCCGCCGCCCTCCCCGGGGCGGGACGCCTCACGCCCGGAAGGGGCCCACTCGCCCTGGCCGCGGATCTCCTCGCCGGCCGCCGGCGGGGCGCGCGGGGCAGGCGCAGGCAGGGTCGCCGCGCAGACTTGCTGCCGCCGTCGCGAGCACCGGGTCGGCAGGAAAAGTTTTCTCGAGCCGGGCCGGCTCGTTCTCTCCGCCCACGAGTGCGGTCGCGGCGGCCCCGCGCCGAGGGAACGGGTCCGCGGAGCCGCGGGGAAGGAAATCAGGCGGGAGGGGCCGGGCCCCACAACTTAGAGCCGGGACTGCCGGGCCCGCCCCGAGGCGCCGCCCCCGCCCGCCGGCGGAGCCCCTTCCTGCCGCTGCCGCCGCCGCCGCCGCCGCCGCCGGGTCGGGGCGCGCCCGGCTCTGACAGGACTTTCCTCACAGTGCGCGCCCGCCGGCCGGCCTCCCGCCCCCGCCGCCCCGGCCTCCGAGCTCTCGGGAACAGGGCAGCACCGGGGGGCGCTGGGGGCGGGCGGCGGCGGCGCGCGGGGGAGGGCGACGGGGCCAGGAGGGGAGCCTCCCCCGGAGAAGCCCGCTCCAGCCGCAGCCGCGAGTCCCCGCCCGCCAGCCCCGCACGCGCGGCGATGGCGGCGGCCGCCGCGAAAGGCAACGCCGGCTCTGCAGCGCCCCTCGGCGCTCGCGCGCCGGCCGCCGCGAGCCCGCGGAGACAGCGGCGGAGCAGCGCCGCGCGGTCAGTGGGCGCCCGCGGCCCCGGCGCCGAGGCGGCGTCAGGCCCCGCCCCCCGACGCGCGGGCGGGGGGCGGGCGCCCCGGCGGCCAATCAGCGCGCGCCGCCCGCCGGGCCCGCCCGCGCCGGCCTCGGGAGCCCCGCGGCGGGAGGGTGGCCTCGCGGGAGGACCGACGCGGAGCCCCCGGCTCCGCCGAGCTCTCTGCCCGCCTCCCTTTCGTGGCCCCGGTCTCCTGACCTCGAGGCCCAGGCCTGAGGGGCCGTGGGCAGAAACTCGTGAGGAGAAGGGGGCTGCGCGCTGTGCTGAGACTCAGCCTTGCCTCCGTTGCCTCCCTGACTTCTGGTCAAGCCCGAGAGCAGGAGCCCCCGACAGGTACAGACACCCGGCCACAAAACCTGAGGGAAACCGGCCTGTGCCGGCCGCGTGTCCGTTGCGTCTCAGCTCAGCTCACCCTTTTTGGCTGCACTGGGAAAATGGGTCTGGGCCTTGTGAGTGAGCGTTCCTCTGCCAGCAGACGCGGACGCCTTGTCCGTGGAGAAGGCTGAAGAGACCTTCTGGGGAGAACTGCGTTTCTGCCAGGCTTTGGTGTCGGCAGGCAGGCAGTGGCAGCATACCTTGTTCTCCCCGCACCGCGCTCCTGTGTTGCTCAGGCGCCAACGGCCAGCTAGCACTTCGCCAACTCTTTTTTTGTAGTTCAGTCAGTTCAGTCGCTCAGTCGCATCCGACTCTTTGCGACCCCATGGTCCGCAGCACGCCAGGCCTCGCTGTCCATCACCAACTCCCGGAGTTTACCCAAACTCATGTCTATCTAGTCAGTGATGCCATCCAGACATTTTTGTAGTAGAGGGCTAAAAATAGACCCGACCTCCTGAATAACTTTCTGAGCACCCTGAAGGCAAGATGCAAGGTTCATAGCAAGCTCCGGAGGGCGGATTTTTCACGCGGAATAGCACCGCAGTGCTTTATCTGCCGTGCAGTGGGCCAGGCCCTGCTCTCTCCTGTCAGGTCTGGGTCTTAGCCCTGGGAAGGACACGGGGAGCTCATCTTTAACAACTCTGTCTCCTAACCCCAGGGTTATTTGTAAGTCTGACTCCTTATAGCGGCTATTTCTGTATTTTCACTCATCTCACTAGTGAATCTCTCATTAGTCCAAAACCTTGTGGTAGTTAATAATTCTTTTTATTAAGCTTTTTTTATAGTCCCAAGAGATGGTTCAGTTTGATTGGACACCTGGGCTTGAGCTGGGTGCTGAATTCCTTGACAGAATCAAGAGGCTAGGACTTTGTGGTGCTCAGGGCATCTCAATTAACCAGCTGCCTGTGGACTTTGTGGTGCTGGCATACCAAGTGCCTTGGGGCCCCAAGTGACAGTTACACTGGACTTTTATGGCTGTGAGGTAACTGTAAGGACTGTGGTGTGAGATGTATTCTTTTGAGTTCCTCTGAATGCTTAAAAAGAGAAATAATAAGCACAGTTCCAAGTTACTGTAGGAGAACCAGAGAGATTTTGTCCAATTCTAAATGAAGCTCATTGATTGTAGCGACAAAATGATATTGCTGAATATCAAACACATTTTCATTTTCATGTTACTGCATTACAACTTCTATCAAATTCACAGATATGCTAAGTTTCTCATGTAAAAGTTAGAGTGCTATTAAATAACAGGATCCCAAATCTTGGAGTGGGTTAGACCCAGAGAAAATGGACAATCTTGAACCCACATGTTTCTCTGAGCCCTTCTCACTATGGGAGTAGGTTACACTGGATTTTTATGGCTGTGAGATAACTGTAAGGACTGTGGTGTGAGATGTATTCTTTTGAGTTCCTTTGAATGCTTAAAAAGAGAAATAATAAGCACAGTTCCACATCCATGAGAGGAAGACGTGCATCTCTGAAAATTTCTGTGGGTGTTCCCCTCAGTAGGCCATGTATGACTATTAATGATGCCACTATTAAGGTGGACTCACTGATAATGATGGGGATAACAAAACCCCAAATTAGCACAGACTACCACCAATGATGTGACTACATCTGCCTTGTGAAAGGGCAGCAGGTGTGTACAGGCAATCAGAATGCCTTTGCCCACAGAGAGGCCCTTGGAAAAAGAAAGGCAACCTAAGAGAATGCTATGTGTGCTCAGTCACTTCAGTCGTGTCCAACTCTTTGCAACCCCATAGACTGTAGCCCACCAGGCTCCTCTGTCCATGGATTTTCCAGGCAAGAATACTGGAGTGGGTTGCCATACCCTCCTCCAGGGGACCTTCCCAATCCAGGGATTGAACCTTCTGCATTGCACATTTGGATTCTTTACCACCTGAGTCCTCAGAGAAACCCCCCTAAGAGAATACTACTTGATATTTACTAACAAGAAAAGTTCTAAATCAGGTATCCAAAATCCAACCTGAGTCACCACAGTGGATTCTCTCAGTTTTTAGACCTATATCGATTCTCAGACCCAGAACCCCTTGATTGAAGGAGAGTCTGTGTACTCTTTAGGAATTACCTTGCACCATTGCCACAGTACATGTTGTAAATGATCCCTCAACCTTGTCCCCCCGAAATGTGTAGCCATATACTAGAGTGGTACTAGAGTGGTTCTGAGGTTTTCTGGATCTTGGATCTGAATTGATGCTAATTCCTGGGGACACACAACACCACTGTGACACTTCAACTAAAGCTGGACTTGATCTTGGTCAGTTGCTAGATGAAGCCTTAACTCATATCCAGCTCACAATTGGTCATTAGGTCACTTGATCCACACACCTACCAACTGTGTAATTATTTTGCAAGGTCTAGAACAGGTCATATCCCCATTTTGGCTTTCTTATCCATGATGAGGGCCACTAGAGTAGGAAGAGCTAAGTGTTCGCTCCTGGAAAGTTCACTCCCTTACAAGATACTAAAGCAATGAGTACTGTCACCAGGTCCAAGCTCATGCTGCTTGCTTCACGACAAGCCAAAAAATCAAGAGACAGTGTGTTGAGACAAGGAATAGTGACTTTATCAGAAAGCCAGCAGACCTAGAGGATGGTGGATTAGTGTCCCAGTGAACTATCTTGCCTGGATTTGGATGCTGGTTTCTTTCACAGAGCAAGAGGAGAAGATGAGGAGATAGAGTAAAAATGGAGGATACATTTTTGCAAATATTTCTAAGTTCTGGCCAGATTTTGGAGGAGATATGTTAATTTCTACTTTCCTGCAGATCTTTACAGGTGAGCCTGGTCAGGATGTTTCTTGTGTGCTAAAAAAGGTATTTTATCGTAAGATCAGTCAAGGGAAGCTGGGCTCCCTGAGATGGGCCATTATGTATACTTTAAGCTATAGGCAACACCCCTTAAGTAATTAACTTACAGCGAAAGTAATAGCATACAAAGGGTAAAGTGAAAGAAATAGACCCGGTATAGAGTCAGCTTTGCTCTTCCCTGTTCAGTGTCACCATAAAAGACTTGGAAAAAAGCACGGGTGCTGATACCTATCTTATTCTCATTTAACTCACCAGTTTGGCCAGTGCAGAAGGAGATCTTAAAAATCGACTGTGGACTATTATAAACTTAGCCAGAAGGTAATTCTAATTGTGGCTGCTATCCTCAGGTGCAGTATTTTTACTGGAGCAAAGCAACACAGTACCTGGTACTTGGTATAGCTACTGATGTGACCAATGCTATCTTCTCTATACTTATTTGTAAAAACCCCCAAAAGTTGGCTTTTACCTATCAGGGCCAATAGCACGTTCCTGAGTCCAGGCTTGAACTGCTCACTGCTCAATAGACCAATAAATCAAGAGACAAGTTATTGGATCAAGGAATAGTAACTTTATTCAGAAAGCCAGCAGATTTAGAAGATGGTGGATTAGTGTCCCAAAGAACCATCTTTTTCTAGAATTCAGGCTTCTTTTATACTAAAATAGGAGGTGCAGTTGGTTCTTGCAGACTTCTTAGTGTTAGAACCCTTTGTTCTTACAGCTGTCTGTGTAGACCCTATCACAATATTCTTGTAACACCCAAGAAGGAAATGTTATTCTCTGTTCTGCAACTTTTCATTTCTATGTGAATGGAGAAGTGTTATACTGTTAGTGATGAGAGTCTCGAGAATGGACTGTCTTATTTATTTCAGCTATGGGCATATCTTTCTCATAGAAAAAGCAATAGAATACAAAGGTTAAAGTAAAAGAAACAGATGAACTATTGAGCCAGATTGCTTCTTCCCTATTACAAGTATACCTCTCCATTCTCCTTACTCTAGCCTACGGAAACGTGATCATCTTGACATTCCATGAAACATCACACAGGTTCATTTTGGTGGTTCATAATGACAATAGTAGAGTGATTGGAGATGATAAGCAGGAAGCAGCAAGTATTTAATACACCTTCATAAGATCTATTTGAGCTAGAGGGCATCAGATAATCAAGAATGAGAGATAGCAACTCCAAAATGTTCCTGCCAAGACCCACACCTCAGGGGCGGGATAGCTTCTAGGATGGTACCAGCTGTACGAGGAAGAAGACATTGAGAGACAGATCCAAGCAGATGGTGTTGGTCAGGAATTACAGGATTGGAAGAAACAGGGACATGGGTGCTGCAGACCTGGGCCGTACCACTCACCTGGCTATGAGAGAGGCAGCAGCGCAGCTGGTAGAGGGGGACGCCTGGAGCGCCAGGGAGCTGAGAACTGGGGAGGACTCAGCGACCTCTCAACTGTCACCTGTAGAACACCTGGCTGGTGTCTCGGGATGCTTTGGCAGCTGAATACTCATTCTTAGCTTGGATCCTAGACCCTCAGGCCTTAGGACACAGCTCCTTGGTCCTTAGAGCTTACGCTCAAGACTGTTGACCTTTTGGATGACTTCCGCCAATGATGACAGAACAAGATTAATTTTCTGGACATTGATATGGTTGCCCCAGCTGAGAAAATTCAGTCCCATGTGCTCTCTGTTTACTAGCTAAGAGAAAATTCTCTTCTGTGCTTTCCCCAGACTGTAGCTACTGCTCTGAATTTGACTGTTGTATCTATCACTGTCTCCTAACCCTGCTGCCAAATACTTAGCAGATGTTCCTTTGGACCCTGAAAAATCAAACCTCGACCCACATGTCAACAGAACATTGCTGCTGGAGTACAAACCTATTAGCAGAGTCTAGTTTACCTGGAGCAGTTCTTACTGTAGAGGCTAGGCTGGTTGGCTGTGATAGGCAGATTGTCCTCAGAAGCACTGCACCCTGCTCTGCAGGAATAATCTAGGCTTAACCAAGGGCTTGTCCATCGCAAGGAACACAAAACTGACTTGCCCTGATAAGTGACTCGAAAACACTCCTAGTACAGTTCATGCCCCTAGTAGGGGAGGCATGGCAACCCACTCCAGTATTCCTGACTGGAG